CACGAACTCGGGTGCGTAGCCTCTATGACTGCACGAGTGCTGGCCTGCGCGGCAATCGCCATTTTTCAAAATGGCGGTCGACGCATTTTGAATTTTGTATGGTCGTGGTGAGCCCTGACATTGAGCGCATGTTGGGTGTGCAAGCCCTGTGAAAGCAATCTGCCATAGGTTCACATCGATGGTGTCCAACCTCTTCGTGCCTGACTGCTGGGCCACGAGCATCTGCAGCTGGCGGTCGTACTCTAGCCACACGCTTGGGAAGAACTGGCGGTTAGCAGTCAGGATCAACTGCTGGTACGCAATCAGTTCAGGAGTTCAGCAGTGCGGTGTGCGGCAGCAACCGTGATAACAGACATGTATGTGGTCCATGCCTCGAGCCGGTAGCTATATCGTGAACATTGCGACGCACCTGCTTTGCGTCATCCGACTCAACGAGATTTAGCTGGCTATCGTTATTCGGGCTGTGCACCAGCCAGAATGTTGGGCCGGAAGTGTGCAAGAATTTCGGGCAACAAACTTGAAAAATCTACGAACTCCCCTCGCAAGATACGTTCTTGCACAGCCTTGGGCAAAGCTGGTGCAGGTGGCTGATCGGGTGGGTTACATGAGCTTGAGCTGGCGTAGTGGCGGCAGCAGCCGCATTGCCTTAGCCTTGGGTGAGGAGCGGCACAATGCTCTCCGTAATGGCGGCCGACAAAGCCGATCGCACCTCGTCCCGCACGAGAGCGCGGAGATCCGTTGAGCCCGCGTCACCTGAGCTGGCGGAGGAGGCATTGGTCCGGTCGGGCTTCTGGACTCGCAAGCCATGTCCGCACTGTCATGTTGCTGGTTCTCCTGGCCGGAGCAGACCTGACTACCAAGGGCTAGCTGTGCCAGCAAACGGTCCTGTAAAATACTTTTACTAAGGGGCCGTCCGTAAATATCGATGTTTTTTTAGAGACGATATTGGTGCTTCTCTCCCTTGACCCCCCCCCCCCCTCCCCCCAGAAGACGCACATGTACATCTAGATCATGGAATCAATATTTTTGGATGCTCATTTTTTTCCTTTTTTTGTCAATAATATGAACCCAAGATGGCAAGTTTGCAGTATTTATATGGTCTAATTGAGAAGGAGAGCATTATGACTTTTTTGGTCACCCTCGGGAACACTTGTGGCCAGCAGCCTTCTTGTGCTGCATTAGCCCATAGTAGGTGGTGAAGGCTAAGCCACAAGTAGAAGCACCATCCAAATACGGGCACACATGCTCCTTCTGCTGCCTGGATCTAGTGCCTTCACTGCTATGACTCAGGCGGTTGTGGCGAAGCTTATCAGCCGCTGACAAGAAGACATACTTGCAGTGCTTGCATCGCTCCGTTGTACCATTCTCAGCGTCTGTGCCAGCTTGGCGATGGATAAACTGGACTGGTTTCACATTTCTTGTATAGCCATTTAGAGGTCCGCGTGCAGGGATCGGCGAAACTTCAGATATTTACATCGATATTTTTCTGATGCTCGAAAAGACGCACATGGCTCAAACCCCCTCCCCCCCAGGCGCACCAATATCGTCTCTAAAAAAACATCGATATTTACGGACGGCCCCTTAAAGTATCCTTTCGGATTCAAGACGAGCTGAGGAAGCTCGCCGCGGAGGGCTTGGCAAGGCATTGCCTTGACAGTGTCGAAAGTTAGGTCAGACATACTGAAGAGGTGAGTTGAGGTGAGGTATCGAGGTGATACTCGGGCTGGCAGCAAAGCTTCGAAAGGAAAAGAAACACTGCTGAGGCACAATCCATTGTCTGGAAGAGCACAACAGAGCAAGCAAGATTTGTTTTCCTTTTCAGCAAAACGGGCTGGGTGCCATTTGTGATTACGCAGCAAAACAAAGCGCATGACGTCAGCCTTGAATGCAGTACAAAGGAATGCAGTGCAGTGTGTGCGCTAGTTCGGATTGTTGCTAATGAGTGCTAGCACAGCTAGTACCCCATTGATGGGTAGTCCTTTGCACCTATCAGAAGCGCAAATATTTCATATTGACACTTTTCCGGGCGCTTCATCTCCTTGACATGGCTTCAGGAGTTCAATCGGTCCTGTTTCTCACCAGCTGAAGTTGATTCGTTGTGGGCAGCTCTGCTGCCAGTCTGATGACTACAATCAAGAGTACATAACCAAGAGTGTGCAACTCCTATCTCGAGCTGCGATGGGTTCACCCACGGCGGAATTTTTTTATTGCGTCATTCTTTGGCTGAAGTATGATCAAGTGCGTATGCTTTCCCGCACATTTTTTGTAGATACGGTGAGAGAACAGGTTCAGGACACATAGATCTATTGTCCGTTGTTCTGCTTCGACTACCGTAGCTGTGATGTACAAATTCTTTGTACTTTGATCTCCTGCTACGCATGATGGCATCAGCGAGCCAAACCGCCGCCAAAGACTGATGTCATAAAAAATTCCGCCGTGGACTGGGGGATCGTCGAGTTGCACACTTTTGGTAATGTACTCTTGCTACAATGAATTGTCATCGCTCTTCTCCAGGACGGCTTTGAACGACCCAAATCTGCACCACGAAATGTTCTCTATCCTATCGTCAATGTTGTCATTTCAGCTTCGCTGCATTGCTTTCACCAAGTCTTTCCCATTTTCTTTGGTTACCATCTCAGCATCGCCTCGCAAGGAAAGCAAGATCGTTCATGTTGAGATCCGCAACTGAGCTGTTTGAGTGACAACCCTGATGCCCTCCGTGCGTTGTCCGGCGTTTCTGGTTCACTTTCGCAGTGTGTGGGGAGTGTCGTGGTGCTGGAGTGGCTTTCCCAGCTTCAAGCTCATATGATGTTTGCCGTACCCACATAGTGTGCCGGATGCAATGAAAAATGCCGACCTTTTGCAATATGACACCTCTGCACGCAGCAGCATACACAGTGACTAACTGATACTCCCTTTTAAATTTATAGGGGAAATTCAAAATTTGGTGACATTATGATGACTTCATTAACTTAACCAGACCAGGCCGGATTTATGACGTCAGGGAGATAGACTTTGTATGGGAGTAGATAGAGAAATTTCAGTATTTTGGCTCTCCGTTGGCCCAAAGAAGGGGGATGTATTTCAAACTTCAGTATGGGACATATGTCACCCTACCGGTATCCTGACTGGAAAAATTCTAGTATGAAATTTATTGTTGCAGAGAAGCAGGGAGGAAATTGGTTTTTCCCCATCTACTCCCATACAAAGTCTATCTCTCTGACGTCATAAATCCGGCCTGGTCTGGGCAAGTTTACGACGTCCTCATGATTTCACCAAATTCAGTGCAAACTTCAAGCTGGTATAACCCGGGAACAGCTGATCTGATCAACCTGGGACATTCACCATCGGAATCGGGTGCATTTTTCGGTACGAGTTGTGAAGTTTTTTTAGGGTGAACTTCCCTGCTCTGCTCTAGGCGCTTCTTTACTCTTTGCGGGCTTTACCATTTTGGTTTGGAACTGGTACGCCTGAAGGGATGGTATAACAGTATATTTGTGTAAATGGTGAAATGAACAAATGTAAAAATAGCTGTCAGTACATACATATCAGTGGGCTGAAGGAGCTAGGTGAAATTTTTGCCTGTTCGGAGGAAGTACAAAATGAGCATTCTTCTCCATGATCTAGCACACCTAGGACTTAAGAAAGATAGAGCATTCCTTGCAGACCATGCCATTGGTTGCAAAAATGAGGGGTGGGAAAGACCCACGGTCGATCTGATTCATCCGCTCGCTGTAGCCAGGGGCACACCACTGTTATAGACTTCCATTCGAATTCCAGTTTGATTACTGGCGTCCATGAACAATTCCATTAGCCTGGTTATTTCATTAACAAAGTCTTTTCCTGTCCTACTGACCAAACCACTTTTACCTGCAGAAAACAATTCCGATATGAGCACACAAGTAATTGAAGAGAGAAAGCAATCCGAGAAGAGTACAGTCAACTTCGCTAATAATGACTGCGGATATAACGACAATTCGCGAATAACGACAGAATTTCCATGCCCAGAGCAAAGTCCCATCTAACTGAAATAATGAGACTTCGGGTATCAGGACACTTCGCGAATAAGGACACGCAAGTTGTCTACTAGTATATGAAACTTCAAGGAAAGGAATAGATTGTTAAGTTCTTTGAGCCATTGTTGTTGTTGTTGTTGATTTTTATTTTGCTTCGCAAGGCCAAACGGGCAATGGTGCCCAATTCTATGGAAGCGAATTTCAAAAGGGAGAGAGCTACGGGGAGAGAGAGAGAGAGAGAGAGAGAGAGAGAGAGGGGGGGGGAGGGAGGGAGGGAGGGAGATGATAAGCAATTTTGTAGCGTCAACAGAGCGATTTTGCAGTGTCAATAGAGCGATTTTGAAGCGTCAACAGAGGGAACACAAAGAGTTCATAAGCGCACAAGCATTGTCAAATTGTCCAGAACGCAGCGACGCTGTTACTGGATCTCAACCAGCAGCCTGTTGGCACTGCACCAACAACGAGTTGGTACGAGGACCGGCAGCCGCAAAAACAGGTTATTGCCCAACGTACAAGGCTGAACGCCAGCCGAACACGCAAGGCACTCAGGCAAATAAAGTGAGATGGTCTAAGACCATGATTGAGAAACAGAGGGTACCAGGTTCGAGTCCTGCTTGGAAGCAGAAGGATTTTTCCAGCCGTGCTGCGACCCACAGTCAATTGGGAATTCGTGGCCTAGCACGAGGGAAGCATGGATGCAGCGAATAGGATTTTCGGTACTTGACCACTTTGGTGGTGGGCCTGATCTACCAACCTCTCACCGCTTTAGGATCTGCATCTCCGCCTTGACCTTCAAGGGAGGGGGGGGGGGGTGGCATCCCAGCGGAGGGGGGAAAAGTCGGTCTCCAGCTGAGTCTCACGAGAAGTGTGAATTTTTTGTAAAAATATTCATGCTGCATCTAGCAGCCAGAAGATCAGGTATTGACACTTTTAAAACAATGCTGCCCTCATGTACGTTTTTTTTAAATTATTATTGTCTTGCAGTGGCTACACCACCACCTCCAGTTGGCGATGATGATAATAATACAGGGCTCTCAACACCGAAACTGGCTGGCCTCATCGCTGGCTCTGTTGCCACCCTGTTTCTAGTGATATTGCTCATTCTGATCATTGTCCGATATCAAAGACGAAAGACACAAGCACTGGTGGCTGATGCAGGGAGACTACGCATTGAGTCCATAATGACACAAGACAGGTACCATACTCACACCGTGCCACTTTCGCCCGTACGGGTGAGGCATCAGGTTGGTGAAGGTGAGAGGCAGTTTTCCGTGTTCTAGAGCACAGAAAGAAATCAAGACCGTGACTTTGGAGATGTGAGCTAAATATATCCCGCCTGAGGGAGGGAGGGAGGGAGGGGGAGGGGGAGGGAGAGAGAGAGAGATAGAGAGAGAGAGGGAGAGAGAGAGACAGTGCAACAGTTACTACTGAGTCTGTACAGTGCAACAGTTACTACTGCGTCTGTACCGTGTATACTCTCGTTGTACAGATGCCGTTGAAGATCCGCGCGCATGTCACTACTGACAGTCTGTACTACTAGCACTCCATGCCAGGGTAGCTCACATTGTGAACGGAACGTGTACAAAAAGACCGCTTGTTGATCTGACTGAGGTTGTCAGCTCTTGCTTGTGCAAAGTACATGTAGTTGTGTCTTGTCAAGCCTCCCGCTCCAAAGTATAGGCCAGCTGCAAGTTGTGCAAAACAAGTTTCATATACAACGGAGGGACTACGGTCAATTTGCTTGCTCACTTGAAGTCCGCACATCCGTCCGTTGTTGCTTCCAATGAACCCGCTTTCAAAGTTCAGAAATTGGGTGCAATGGACAAGTTTGTTCTTTCTCGAGCTAGAGCCGCCAAACCTTGCAGTGGAGCGGATGCTGAAGCCTTGACGCAGCTGCTTGTGGATTGGATAACCACGGACATGCGTCCCTTGAACATCGTAAACGACGACGGGCTCAAGCGGCTGCTTCACTTCATGGAGCCCAGCTTCAACGTCCCGAGTCGAACTCATATTGCCTCCATCGTGAAACGCAAGCACTCCGAAGGCAAGGAGGAAGTCAAGGCCATGATGAGATCTGCTCGTCGGGTGCATGGCAGTGACTACCGCTGGCTGGGCATCAACAGCAGTCTGGTCGTACTCCATGTTCACCGCCCACTTCCTCGACGACAACTGGGATTTACAGAGTGTTGTTTTAGCGACGCGGCCTTTGTACGACGGACACACAGCAGTCAACATCGCTACAGAGTTCAAAGAAAATTTTGAGGAGTGCAGCATTGTGAAAAGGTTGTGGCAGTTGTATACGACGAGCCTGCGAACATGGTTGCCGCCAGCACACTGCTTCAAGCTGGTAGTGATGGCGATATCCAGGGTGTTGTGTGTGCTGCACACATCAGTGTTACCAAGTGCCCTCTACGCCCATGCGTACCGCCCAGTGCCAATTATTTGCAGAATTTTCCAGAGTTTTGCGTACCCGTTTTTTCAGGTCAACATTCTGACTTATTATTAGTGAAATTTGCCTGGTGATATCGTTAAAACCTTCGTGTCCAACGCTGAAATCACTGTTGCAGTGCTTGCAGAAAGGGAAGTGAATTCCATTCTTGCTCTTCGTTATTCCTGGCAGTAGCGACTACGCGACTCTTTGAAGCAAGCGGCAGGATTTTTCGGCCTTTTGTTCAATCCAGGATGACCAGTTTCTCGCCTTGGATAGTCGTCAGAATCCATGCTTACGACTACACACTGTCACACTAGACATGGTCAGCATTTTACCGCTCACGCTGTTTTCGACCGTACATCGGCCTGTACCGTTTTGTGTGTGTTTTCAAGACACTGGTTAGCATTTCGGTTTCTGACACAACGATCGACTTGTGACGTAACCCTAGTTGGAATTTTACCATTTCGTTCTCCCGCTAAACAGAGCTTTCTATCGTCGAAACGGTACCAAACTAACAGTATTTTGGGTGTTGGGTACGAGTACCGTTGGATTTAGCTTGAACGGTAAAATGCCAACCATGTCTACACACACACACAAACGGTACAGGCCCACCGCCGAAAATAGCGTGAACGGTAAAATGCTAACCATGTCCACTGTCATAACTGAAATCCCTACCATCTCCTGTCCACACAGCTTGTCCAGGCAGGAATTTGAGTCAGTAATTAGTAGCGTAATACTACATGACAGTGTTGATTATGGCCAAGACTGACATTGAGCACGGATCAAAATGCTCGCTCATAAACGACGACCTGCGAGCTCTTGCGCTCTACAAGCTCTGAAAATGCACCCTGCGATCCGGTTTTGGATTGATTGATCGTGGACACGTGGATGGGCGTCTTCTGCACCATTTTTTCACTGCCTTTGAAGACACCATATTTGTTTTCGCTTCTTGGGGATAATTCGATTGAAATCCGTACAGCGGACAAAGCTTTGTTTTCCGTAAACAAATACGGACGAACACGGGCTTTCGGCAACACTGACATAATGCTACAGACATGCTTGCGCCATGCGCTGGACAGCACTCAGCAGCAAGCCAGTGCAGAAGCTTCTATCTGAGGGTTGATGTCTCGTGGGGCATTTCCACCACAGCTCCCACGCAACTGCTCAGCTAAAGGCCCAGCCATGCTGAGGAGAACCAGATTACCCTCCAGCAGCCACTCCACCTGATGCAGGATGTCACAACCAGGTGGAAGAGCATGTACCATATGTTGCGACGCTTGCTTGAGCTAAGGCCTCACGTGACCTCTGTTCTGGTGGACACTGCCAAGGCGCCCAAGGCTGACCATAGGGCACTGCCTTTGAAAGAGAAGCGTTGGACCACTGCTGAACAGCTCATGGGGTCATGGCTCCTTTGGAGAAAGCGACGCGCCTTCTGAGTGGTCAGAAATATCTGAATATATCACACACAAAAGACACAATGGAGTTTTACAGAGTTGTCCCAACTCGGAGTTTCTTGCTCAGTGCAATCATCAGGCGACTATTACATGCTCAGTGGGACTTGGCCAATATAAAGCATAGCCTAGCGATAGCTGGTTGGTGTTTGATTCACCACAGAAAATATTGCCATGATGGCCGTGTGGATGGTTGCGTAGGTAAGGGAGCTATTACAGTACCGGGGTATTAGCGCAGAAAGTGTAGATTGCTATTGAATATAGAAATGGAAGGTGTGAATTTGTAGACAGCAGCCAGGGTGACGGTAATCCCTCAGAACTGTTAAAGCGTTATTGGTGATGCGGAGGGCTCTAGGCTCACGCGTATGTGCTCACTTCAGATCATGTCACAGTGTACTGTATGTTTGTTTTGCAAGTGCACGCAGGTGTGTATGTGTGTACATCATTGTACAATGTATGTGTGTGTGCATATGTGTGTTTTGGGGATGTTGCACACCTGTGATTATGCCACGGCTGCACTGTGGCTTTTGAGTAGGAATTTGTTGGCGTGTCGGCATTTTGATACAAGCTCACTCCTCTTGTTCAGTAGCGTTGTCTTGTCCGCGGTGATGATCTGCAGTTTTTCTTCCAGGCAGAGGCTGCATCTCTTGCTGATGTTGCTGTAGACTCGGCGTTTCTTCATGATGGACCATCTGATGGATGTCTGTTTGCCATTCTCTTTCATTTTCCATGTGTATTTCAAGAGTTCGGTGGCATTCTCGTACTTTGGATGGCGCATAGATGATGTGTGGTTGTTGAAACGGTTCTTTAATGCTGGCTCCGTCGAGCCGATGTAGTGTTTGATTTGGTCGTTGTCTTCTCTGGTGACTTCCGCTTGGTAAATGACATTTGTTGCCTGACACTTGCCACCAAGGGGGCAGTTCGGCTTGACAAGGCAGTTACAGGGTAGGTCAGGCTTCGGCTGTTCCAGTATACGTTTGTTATGGCCGCTGATGAATGCCGACACGTTGGGCATACACGAATAACTGATTTTCACGGTATTTAAATTGAAGATTTTCGCCAGCCTCGAGCCTCTGCGGAAATGCCGCTTGACAAGTCGTAGGAATGCGGCTCCCACATCCGTCTGCACGTTTCTGGAAAAGGGCGGGTTGAACCATATTACTTTGCGTTTCCTTTTTCTGTTCCTTCTGGGCGTGTTCTTTTCAACGTACGCTATGTTGTCTGGTAAGCCGCTCGATGCCAGTGCTGTCCTGTAAAGTGGTGCAGCTTCTGTAAATACTTGGCTGCGAGCGGAGATGTCTGACAATCTTCGAGCCACTGTTGGGGATCTGTTTTTCAAGATGACGGGCGGGTGGTTGCTGCTGCTGTTAACGTACAAAGGTGTGTTGCCTGGTTTGCGGTACGGCTTATACTTGCCACTTTGTAGGTCTAGGGTCACATCCAGAAAGTCCACTGTGGTCAGGTTCATTTGGGCTGTAATCTTGAGGCCGTATGTGTTAAACAGCGCAGAGATGTCCTTGCTGGGTCGATCTGCACCTGGTCCGGTTGCGTTTTTCAATAGGGCGAGGCCGTCGTCTCGGTATAGCCCTATCGTATCCTTTTCGAAATGGTTGGCTAACTGATTCAGCAGGAACGATCCCACGAGCTCGCACACTTCTGCCCCGTCGAAGGAGGCCATAGTCACATTGAATGTGCTGTCTTTGTTTCTTTTCATCCAGGTCTTGGCATCACTGAAGAGAAGTGACTTCCTGGCATGCATAATTATTTCCACTTCGTTTTCGTCAACTTCTGTCAGGTTCGACGCAAACTGCAGAGCCTGGGTCATAAGTTGCTCGGTTATCGAGGGGTAAAATTCTACCACATCGAATGTCAGGAAACGGTGCTTTTTCTTGTCGTTGATATCTTCAAACCAGTCGATGACGGCTGCTGAATTTTTCCACTTGCTCACCTCAGTCTTCTTTTTCACGTCCGATACGATTCTGTCCAGGATCTTCTTGCTTACGATGCCGGTGTCTGATTTTGCAGGGTTGATGAGTCTGCATGGCAGGTTGTTGGCGAATCCTTCTTTGTGGTCTTTCAAAGTTCGGAAAGCGTCTGCCTTGGCGAGGACTTCCATTCTGTCTTCGAGTTCTAGAGCCTTGGCCACCTCCCGTGCTTCGTTGTTGATATCACTACATGCTGAATCGGGCGCTAGCTTGTTGTGCTTCGTTGTATTGTCGTGTAGGAGTTTCTTGTACGTTTCTTTCTTCACGGCATACACATTCCTGGTTTTGTCGGCCCTCACAATCACGTCTTCGCTGTCATCCAGTGCTTGCATATCCTGCTTCAGTCTGTCCTGGAATTCGTCATTCACTCTCCTGAACTTTATTGTCTCAATAAGCGCTAGGAGATCGTCTTCAAAAGGCTTCAGTTCTTCAATCTGTGGTGGTGTGTTCTTGCTCTTGAAGCCGTAGGATTCCCTTTCTTCTTCTTGGCCCTTCCCGAAGAAGAAGGCCTTCCATCTCATGCGCTTGATGACACTTTCCACTTTCTCGATCAGTGCTTTCCAGTATCTTGCTGGCGTTGAATATATCACATGTGTTATGCTGGTCGTCATGTCTCTGCACTCCATGGTGCTGGCAGATGCAGGCAAGGCGGCAGGCAATGGCAAAGCTGAGATCGCTCAGCTGTGTCGCAAGCTGACTTCTGAGCTTGCCAACAAGTTTCACCTGGACCCGGTACATTTGTCTGCATGGTGTGCTGAATGATGAGCTTCCTCTGCAGCGGCCGTCTATGTAGCTTGTTCACCGAGTGATTATCTCTCTCTGTACTCGTTTATCTCTTTCAGTGTGTGTGTGTGTGTGTGCGTGCGTGCGCGCGCGCGTGTGTGTGTGTATATATATATATATATGTGAGATTGAGTATATATATATGTGTTTATACCTCACTCCATATACACTTACAGTCTGAGGCATGCTCTCCCTTAGTGGTGTATATGTATAGGATATTGACCAAGACTAGGTCTATATTTCCCATATAGACCGAAGTCGAGGTCAATATCCTATTTATCACGATTCCTTTGCCATAACCCCAGAATTTGAACCTTTAGGAGCTATTTTAACCTTTTCAGTATAGCATTTGTACTATAGTGTACATAGGATGTTGCCTATTTTGGGTACAAGACTGTGAGAGCAACAGGGTTCAGCATCTGCAGCACAGTGGCTGGGTGGTATAAGGGGTTGCTTGAGATTCATGCTGTTGTGGGTTCAAATCCTGCTTGTTCTCTTCCTTTGTCTTCTTTCTTTCAAATTTTCTTTTTGAAGTGGAGAGAAATTTTCTAAGTCCCTCCAAAGTCGAGAGATTACAATGCCTAAGTGGTCGATACAAGCGGTCGATATTACGGCGATATGGGTAATATAGGACCAGTTAAGGATCACGAGAATTAGTAGAGGTCGATATAGAAGAGTGATAAATCTCCATATACACCGCTAAGGGAAATTAGCAGTAGTTGTCGGCGAGGTACAAGCCATTAGGAGGTCACACACGGTGAATATGGAGAGGTATAAATATATTATAACAAAGGAACCTTGTGTATATCGAGATATATACACCAGTTATAAAACCTCGGCTTCGCCTCGGTTTTCATACTGGTGTATATAATCTCTATAAACACTCGGTTCCTTGTTATAATATATACACTAGTGTATGTGCCAGCTAGTTCGGTTGGTGGGTACACGTATGCCTGATTGTGTTGGGTCTGTTGCCAACGGGCTCGGCTGCTTGAATGTGTAATGTTTTACCTGCCACCTTAGTTGGTTCCAGGGTTCATATACTTTCTATTTGAAGTGTACATACCTGTTAACCATGAACTGCTTCTGGCTAGATTAACTCTTGTGTAATCAATGGTGCTAGTGAAGCGTATAATTATCAGATCCACTCTGATTTAGCCACCCACACTAGTAGCAAGTATTACCTTCAGTGGGGGCAGGGGTAACTGCAGTTGGATCCCGGGACGGATATCCTGATGCCCTCAATTCTTTTTCTGCACCTTGTCCTCATCCACTTACTGAGGTGTGGTGAGCCCAAAAGTGGGATCATTTTCAAGTCCACCCAGAGTTTTGGGGATTTCAGGGGGTGTCGGCCGTTGGGTGGTTCAATAGCCAATTAAAGGGGAAGTCCGGTGAAAAATTTAAATTTCACAGTCCGTAGAGTTCGGGTTGCTGAGTCGAATGGTCTTTGTCCGAGGAGGCTGCGGCCTATGGTTCGTCAGATACGCCCAATCGAACATGTGAGAATTTAAGCGCGCATCACCCAGATCCAGGTGATGACGTCACAGCGTGCAGCCAGGTAGCCGCACCATCTAGTCGTGTACAAAATGGCCATATTCGGAGCGCGTTCGATTGGGGAACCGTTCGTCGCAGCTTCTTCGGACCAAGACCATTCGATTCAGTGTTACAAACACTACGTACCCTGTGATTTGCAGGTCGGTAAACCTCGAGGTTATACCCTATTTTAGCCGTTTTCGAGTTGGACTTTTTCCGTCAGTGCTCTACGCGTATACGGCTCTAGCAATGCGCTGCGTGCATGCTAGCTGTAGTGCAGTCAACAAACTCATCACACACGGAACTACTCCCGCACTGCCGTGCTGGGCTAGCTACAACAAGACTCGAGACACAAGACTCAGAAAACTAGCCAACACAGTTACACACGGACTTGTCATGTACTACACTCGTATCAGTCGTATTGTACAGTCATGCAGTCAGAGAACGTGCGTTTCTCCTTGCCGGTGCCGGTGGTTGTGCTTTGAGAAAGAAAATTTTAGTTTTCCGCTCCAGTCCCGCCTCATTATTTTATGCTACAGCGATGAATGCACAACCGTGACAAGTGACAAAACAGCGAACAGCTCCCGGACCTAGAACTTTCAGATTCCATAGCGTTGCGAGCGAAGAGCCGTGCCCGTGGTTCAAAGAGCCTGCACTGTTCTCCAATTGAGTAGTCCGAAATATGCCAAGTTCGCACCAAAACATCACCATGTGGCAGGCTACTGGAGTCTAAGTGAATCGGTATGGAACAACATTTAGAGCACTCGCATCACTCTTCTCCATTTTGGCGACCCTGCTCTCCAGCGATCTGATAATTATATCAGCCTCGTCTGCAATAGCTGCTGCTTCTTCATCAGTCGGAAACTCAGAGCGCTCACTCTTAACCGGCCCGCGCGGCCATTTCTTCAGCTGCATACCGAGGTTCTTAGCCCCAGACCAAAACTCATGAAGGTCAGCCATGGCTGCATCCTCACTCTCACAAGGAGTTAGGTCTTCGGGGTCGCTTGCACCACCTAATATCAGTCGCCAAATCATTTGAAATAGCACTGACACTATTGCTTTCACGCACTCCTTTTGACCTAGCTGCACGCTATGACGTTGCGGAGGGTGTGGCGCGGCCGCATGACGTCATGGCGCAGCCCCCCGAAACTCAGTTTTTCAAACGGAAATATCTCGAGAACGCTTTGTCGGATACACGTGGGACCAACACCATTCGACTCAGCGCCCGAAACTCTACCGACCCTTAAATTTAAATTTTTCACCGGACTTCCCCTTTAAGTCATCTTTCCAAGATTCCTTTTGAGTCTCTCTTCCCTCTCACAGGGAGACCCACGTGACCAGTTTTGGCAGTGAGCAACAAGTACAAGTATGTATGTATGTGTGTGTGTGTGTGTGTGTGTGTGTGTGTGTGTGTGTGTGTGTGTGTGTGTGTGTGTGTGTGTGTGTGTGTGTGTGTGCTGCGTGAGTTTGACGCAGCTGTGTTCGAGATGATGGCGGATCGCTCTGTTATTGTGGACAAGCCACCCACTGTTGCTGAGGTGAAGGCTACAATGCGGACCATGCAATTGGGTAAAGCTGGCGGAGAGAGAGAGAGAGATAGAGATAGAGAGATAGAGAGAGAGAAAGTGTGAGTGAGTGAGTGTGTGTGTGAGAGAGAGAGAGAGAGAGAGAGAGAGAAAAGAGAGAGACAGAGAGAGATGATGATGATGATGATTCCCACCTTCCAACCCAGAAAATATTTAGATTTGGATAAAAACGATTCTAAGCCTCTCAATTATTTTGTAATACTTGAAGTTTGAAACTCGGATGTTGAGCCATAAATAAATGTACTGAAGTAGAAAGGAAAAAGACATTATTCCCCTCTTTGATCTTTCCGTAACCTTGAACCTTCCAAGTTGGAAGGCTGTCGGATAGCGCTACGGAGATGTGTTCAAGCTAGGTGTCAGGACGTCGAATGTCTCAGTACTCTGTCAGTTTTGTGCCTAGTTATTGCACTTTCTGACTGTATAAAGTATCATGTTACAGTGATGGAGAGTTACTCTTAACTCGTATCCATAATGTCTTTTTCCTTTCTACAAATACTTGACGTATAAATATAAGTGTAACTCGGATGGTGAGCCAATTAAATAATTGTGAAAAGAAGAAGGACAAAATGTTACGAGTTACGACTAACTGTCCACCAACGTAACCAGATCTTACACAGTCAGCGAGTGCGACAAAATGGCACAAACTGACAAGGAGTACTGAGACATTCGGCGACCTGACACCTAGCTCCAACACTTCTCCAAGGCGCAAACCAACAACCTTCCAACTTAAGTAAGGCCGGTATGTCCAATAGTCTTATTAGTTCCGTCATCATCCAGTAACTTTCGGCATTTTTGTTGCTGTGATGCGTAGCTCGTGCTCATCTTCGTTGCGCTTTCCTTCCCCTCTTGGATCTTTCCGAACCTGAGCCTTCCAAGTTGGAAGGTTGTTGGTTTGCGCCTTGGAGAAGTGTTGGAGCTAGGTGTCAGGTCGCTGAATGTCTCAGTACTCCTTGTCAGTTTTGTGCCATTTTGTCGCACTTGCTGACTGTATAAGATTAACAAAGGGTCTGGCTGGCCGGTGGCAATACCATCTCCGTGCCACACAGCACAGCCCTGAGGTACTTCAGGTACCTGGCCAGGTCCTCGATTCGGAGGTTTTGCCAGCTCTCCTGGGCCATGAGTTTGACCCCAATAGCTCACAGCGGGAGCTTATGTCTCTGCCCACGAGATGTGGTGGTCTTGCTGTGCCGATTCTGCCATCCCTGGCGCCTGTGGAGTATGCGGCCTCAACAAAGATCACTGAGCCGTTCGTGCGCCTTATTGTACCGCCGGATACATTAACGCCTCCAGAAGAGGCGCCTGTTGCTCTATACCACCAAAAGCACAATTCTAAGACCCTCGGTAATACGGCCAGAAGCCTCCAACTGCTCCCTCGCCATCTCGACAACAGACGGCAGGCCAATGCCACCGAGCCGAGCAGGAAGCCGAAGAAGCGAAAGCTCAGTGTCCGTAAAGGACGACCGTCCGGTAATGGCACGGAGGAAAGCACCTGCCAAAGCAATATCAAGCTGCTCAAGTGACTCGGGAGCTATCGCAGTGGTCCGAAGTAAGTAATTCCAACGACCCCGCAGCCCATGTACTAACGCGGAATACGCAGCATGTGGCTCTGATACCGCGAAACCACTTAGTTTATCGATTTGACCACACCACTGGGAGGCTGCGTGATGCACGAATGTGTTAACAAATTCCTCAGATCCAATAGGACTACCCAGATATTTCACCCCACTAGTGACAATCTGGATGCCCGTGCCGATGAAAATACGTTCAGCTTCCTGAAGAAACTCAGGTTTCACAAGCAGCTGAGTTTTTTCCCAATTAATATGATAACCATAAACTTTGCCACGTTCAGCCAGCATATCCAACCATCTACGCAATTCAAGCAGCCTACCAGCACCAGCAGAATCATCCGCTTGATCAGAGGAACAGTCGATAGGGCATACAGTGGCATCGCCAGAGGATCACCTTGGGTTGTACCCTCTACCGATGCCAACTCTCCACCTCCAGTTACAAACAACCGCGCTGGTTTGGCATACGTATTATTCGCCAATAAGGAGAGAGCTGGGCAAGTATACTGGATATTGTGTAAAGCGACATTTCTATTTAAATTATTGAAAGCGTTGCTGGCGTCAACCAGCAATACACCCTCGGTGTCATGAGTCGCAAAGCCATCCCGCATAACCCGAGTGGCTGCCTCAATACCAGCCGGCAAACCACTACAGGTTTGAATGTAACCGCAGGCGTGCTGTATTTGTGAGCGAGAGATTGAGATCGCAGCCTTGACTACAAGCCTGCGCATCACTTCACAAACCCCAATGGGGCGAACGCCTGGATTTTTATTAAGAGCAATAAGGCGACAAGACGTGAAAGGCAGTAGTGCCTCACCCGAGATTGGCTGATGATGATGATGATGATGATGATGATGATGATGGGAAGGCCTCTTTTACGGGCAAAGCAAAGCACAATCATCACCATGTATCAGTAGTAGTACAGTGAGTAGTTAAACCCAACACGAATGAAAAATGTGAAATGGAATAAAACAATATTTGTAAAAAAAATAAATAAATTAAAATTAAAATTCAATATCGAACACGAATAAAATAAAATAAAAATATGTAAAAAATAAACAATATCGAACACGGAATTAATTCCGGAACTATCTACTCAACCAATTCATAATGCAATACCCGCACACTGTGTCAGTGATGGAACTCCGCTACCCGATCAACATGCAGAGACCACTCAATCACATGCTTAGAAGCCGCTCTCCACAATGACCAACTCCCTCATCGCATTAACTGGACTATGGTAGGCCGATCGTGCACCGCGAATGCACATTATGGCTGCCCTGAGCAAAGCAAAGGACAAGCGACACCGCACATAGGCCATTAGCTGGGCATACGGTCGATCGGCAGTTGCCAGCAATGCACACAACCGCTTAATGAATGCAGTACACTCCGGAGCACAACAACCCGCCGTGGTAAAGACTAGAGGGGTAAATGAACCACGGTCGACATTGTTGATACGCTCGGCATACTCACTCTTCTTGCGGCGCTCATGTTGCTTCAGAAGATCACTGACGGGCTTGCTCTTGTAAGATGCTGCATCCGGGTGGAAGATCCGGACATCGAAGAACGCATTCTGAGCCCGGGTCCAGAACCCACGAGCTCGGACATCAGCTCGGGCGTCGTTCGCGGTGTTTGTCGATGCCGATAAAAACACCTCGCCTGTGATCGGAGCAAGTACAGGCTCGACTGCCACATCTGAGCATACCTCCGTCAGAAGATCCGCCACGATATCTCTTACTTCATTGTGGCGAATTGTCGGGAAACCTCCGCGGGGACAAATCATCGCATGCGTGGCGTCGAACGGCTCCCCACACACACAGCTCGCTGGTGTGTCCAAGAGAGACCAACCATAGCGGAGAGCTAGAGCGTCGCGGAAGTCTCCCTTGGACAGATGGTGACCATGGTCTGCCAGAGGCAATACCCCGATGATGATGATGATGATGATGATGATGATTTTTTTTTTTTTTTTTTTTTTTTTTTTTTTGATGATGAAGCCACTTCTTTGGGCAAACAAAACACAATTTCCCAAGATGAAGGAGTGGAACCCTACACAAATAATAGTTTAAATGAATCCAACGCAAAGATCGTGATGATGATGATGATGATGATGATGATGATGATGATGATGATGTCTTGCAGCCCAGTATGTCGATAAACACAGTGACTTGGCCTACTCGCTGGTTATGGGTCGATTGCGGTGCCTGCTCTCGTTCACTTTACTCCGTTGGGCAGTGACGTGTTTTCGCGGCTGCCGTAGCTCCTACCAGAAAAAGTCAGTCAAGAATTTCAGGAGTTATTGTTTGATGGGTCATTAGATAGAGGCCGGTGTTTCTGAGACTGCAATCATTTAATGTTTCTTCCTTAGTGGTGTAGGTAGATTCTGTTTTGTAAGCATAGTAGGACTACTTTTGTTTTGTAAGTCAATCTCATTCTCCACGCTTTGCTGTCATTTGGTTATGTTTTAAAGTAGTTTTTATGACCTGATGTTTGTTTTTTATATTTGTAGTTCTATTGTTGACATCTTTTGTCTTTTCTTTGGGTTAAAAGGTTAACTTCATCCTCGTTTTCCTATTGCCTTGTATTGGAATTTGCCCATAAAAGTGGCTACGGTGTGATAATGCATTTCTATAAATTATTTCGTGTTTTAACATTATTTTCAGAAAATTGCTCTTACAATACCTTGCGTTTTATATTCATAATATTGTTGCCCGTAAAAGCGGCTTGGTCACATGATGATGATGATGATGATGATGATGATGATGATGATGATGATGATGAGGAAGTGTATTGATTGCTACCCAGGAAGGTCGCTACCTAGCACGTGCAACAATTCGTTATCTGCCTCACAGCCTTCTGGTGCTAGCAATGTCACTCGAACTGTCAACGCGCACCCTGCCAGCCAGCCACTTGCGGTTGGGTTTGCACCTCGCGGTGTTGATTGCGCTGGAGATAGATCGCAAGCTAGCGACAGTGACAGTGATTCACTGCATATAAATTCGACACTTCCGAGGAACTTGGTATGCGCAGATCATGCACGCGCTGGTTCTTCCCCTGCAAGTGATGTAATAACTGATCCATCCTCTCAGATTCAAGGTGATGGCCTTGGCACCTCACGGGCTGGAGCGTCAACATCCAACATTCATCCCACAGGTTCTCAGGTGGAGCTCCTGGCTACCCTAGATGCTTCGGGTCCTGAGTCCTCTGGACAAGCGGCAGACAGCGGTGATGCCGGCACCTCGTCATTACCGGCCGGCGATTTCGGAGGCGCGGTTGGTCGGCCGGCTCATCGCATTGGTGGGCGGAGCGGGGTGGATCCTGCGCCCTCCCTGTTGCCAGGAGCTGCTGCTGTGGGGCAGGGCTCGGCCCAGCCTGCTGCTGCTGCTTCTCCGGCTGCCGCGGTCGCTCGGCAGACTTCTAC